CCAATTCACTGCTATATTTTATTATTATTATTATTATTATTATTATTAAGACTATAATTAAGTAAAACTTACTATGCATTCCATCAAAATCGAGCCCACTGTATCCACCATCCATATAAATACAACATATACAATTTTGTGTTCAATTCAATACTTATGATTAACAGTATTTTAATGTCGCGATTAATAGTATAATTCTCAATCAGTGATCAATATTATCGATAACTGATCACTATTACCAATAACAATATCATCCATACCTATAGCAATACCAATACGGATGATGTTGGTAGCAATACCAATAGTAATATGATCCATATATTATCAATCAGTGGATCAATAATCAATAATCCATAATCAATAATGAATCGGAATTGAAGCATAATCCAAAATTGTAACTTCCATAAATAAATACACATCTATTGTCTTGTCCATTATAAACGAATGCCATACTTGATTTATTTGCCCATTTCAACTACAATTCAGCGAACGACGAAGATGACCAATTGCCGTTCGAGACCAAAAGTGTGGTTCGAATCCGAGCAAACGAGAAATTCTCTAAGTTTTATCAATGTTTCGATGAAATTGGAGAGTAAGTGAAATAAATCACTTTTTAATTGTTATTATTATTACTATTTTTATTGTGTTGTTATCATTATTCATATTGTATTCTATTGTATTATAGAGGAAAATTTGGTAAAGTATACAGATGCAAGGAGATAGCGACTGGTTTAGAGTTGGCTGCGAAAAGAATTAAAATCAGACGTAATGCGGACCGTGAACAAGTGGAACGAGAGGCATGCTATATATCTAGTTGCTTTTTTGCGGGCGTTTTCAACTAATAATCGCTTGATAACTGCGGCGAGGATATACGAGGATATACTTGTTAATATACGAGGATATACGAGGATATACTTGTTGATATACGAGGATATACGAGGATATACTTGTTAATTGTTTTAAGTGATCGCTAAAAATACTTACTCGTATAATCATTACTCGGTAACCGACGGGAGAAATAGATAGATATGAAAATATGCTGAAATGATTGATTGCCAACAATATTCAGTCCATAGCAGTCAGTGCAGTCCTTTCTAGACGTGTTCAATTCAATTGCAGACATTTTAATTGCAGCACTAAATATTTTCAATTAATTTCACTCAAAATATTCCACCGAGCAATTCAAAATCTTATTTCGACAGCAACCAAAAATTAATTTCAGGTTGCAATCATGACCCAGATGAGGCATCCACGTATCGCACAAATCTACGATGCATTCTCAACGCCTGAAAACGACATTATTTTAGTGATGGAAGTGTACGTTTAAATATATTATCATCACATTATCAATTATCAATCACTAGTACCACATCCGATCACTATCAGTCATCGTCTTATCACACTGTTGTTAGAACCAAACCTCCAAAGGCTCGTCTCTAACCAAACCCCCCTCCCCTCCCCAAAAAAAATCAAAATCAAAATCAAATCCAAACTCAACTTATAAATTTCAGTGTACGAGGCGGGGAGCTGTTCGATCGAGTCGTGGATGATAATTATATACTGACCGAAATGGCTGTTAAGATGATCATTTGCCAATTATGTGAGGCAATCTCTTATATTCACAGTAAACATATTGTTCATCTTGATATTAAGGTTTGTTTGTTCTGGTTCGACTTTTTAGTTGTAATTGAGTGCGCATGATGAGGACTTGATGAACTGCTGATCAGATTCTACTGATCAAATAAGAATTGATTTGATCAGATTCTATTGATCAAATAAGATGAATGCCGTTCATCCTTGGGTGTGTATCCATCCTTTCATTGCATATCCTTCGGTTCGCTCGATCCATCCATCCTGAATACTGAAAAAGAATTCGATTATTAATTGAAGAGTGAATCGTTGCCATTAACTGACATCCATGCTCACCTCGCATAATATTTATTCACTTTTCCATAGCGTTTCTTGCCGATCGCTCGAATCCTAACAGCATTCCATCTTCTTCCTGATTGGTCCAATATACGGGAGGGAACTGGCCGTCATCCTTGGTCATCTTCGTCGTGCAGTGGCCCGATACCGTGCGCTGAATCCACCCGATAACACAAGCAGCACATCCATTTGTACTGTTCAAACACATCAATACCAAACCTTAACAATACCAACCGATTACAACCGCCCATCAATACTCGATATCCATAACTAATAATCGCCCTTAATCCACTATCCACATCACCCAACCACCAAATAAGATGATAGTAGCGATACATAGCACCCGATCACCCATCAACCAACCGCACACCAATACTCACAACTCACAACCGAACAACCACCTATCGCCCACCATACACATCAACTACTAACCAACCGCACACGACAACCACTAACTGATCAATGAATCACTCTCGACATATCGATACTCTTTTATACCCAATCACCAAAAAACATTTGATCAACAATACGATCGCGCGGCAAAACTCATCAAAACAGTTCATTGCACTATTCTATAAAGTATTTGATCGAAACTATCGTCAATATGATCAATCAATAGACTAACAATAATATCGTAGATATATTTATGACTGACAACACACTGTGAATATTCTGATACAATTCTACATTATCATTACGTATGTAGTATAAATGACTTTAAAAGATCACCTGCAATCAAAATAAATGACGAATCCATTTGAGTACAGCCCGAGAACATAATGTGTGTCTCGCAAACCGGTAATCGCATAAAACTGATCGATTTTGGTCTGGCGCAATACTATGATGGTTCGTCGAATTTGCTGTTCATGGCCGGTACACCAGAATTTGTGGCACCTGAAGTGATCAAATTTGAACCGATCGATTTTCATACGGACATGTGGAGTGTTGGTGTGATCACATATATTTTGTGAGTTGCTACCTTCCCTTCAGTCATTCTTTCATTCCGATCACCACCACCACCATTATTAACCACTACTACTTGCAAATATTATTAATATGTAATAATAACAATTACCATTATTAATTAATTAATTAATTAATTTCATCATGTAAACAACATTCAAATATTTCTGCATTTTGTCCACACATAAAATACTAAACGCTATGTACGTATATATCAATTTGGTTGTTTCGTTCGAAATTTCAGTTTAAACCTAAAATCATCACTCAATAGATTGTCAACGCAATGAATAATGCACACTTACTCATCATTGTCAAATGCGTGTTAAGTATCCGTTACACTAAGAGAAAGAAGCATTGAGCAGTTGATCGATGATCGAAATGATCAATCGATGATCGATAATCGAAATATATGATCGAAACATGGTCGTGATCATGTGATCATAACGTCGTCCTTCAGATTATCCGGTATTTCGCCATTTTTGGGTGAGACTCTCGGTGAAACGTATTGTGCTGTGGAGAAGGGCGACTGGGAGTTCGACGATGTCGCTTTCCAAAGCGTCTCTGAATCGGCCAAGGATTTCATCTCTAAACTGCTTGTTTACGATCAAAAGTGAGTGATTATTGCTTCTAATATATTCACATTCATTCATTTTTATACTACTAGCAAATATGTAATAATAACAATTATCATTATTAATTAATTAATTAATTAATTAAGGAAACGAATGCTACCAAATGAGTGTCTACAACATAAATGGATAAAAGACTCACGAAAACGTGCCTCTAGTGATTTGCTATTAAATGAACCAAACGTCGGCGAACCACTATCAAAAGAGTTTTTCAAAACATATTTAACAAATAAGCGATTCAGAGTAAGTAACATGACTGCTTAATAAAAGTATTCTTTATGTATAAGGGCATTAGCAATCAGCAGCACAATACTGCGATTTATCAGTACGATTACCCGTTGAGTCAGTCTCGCTCTCATATTATAGATGGCTCGAACGAGTTCTCGTGCCAGTTACGAGTTACTTCTAAGTTACTCGTGCCAGTTATGAGTTACTTATAAGTTACCTGAATGGTTATAAAGATTAAAGATTTATTAATTTAAAAAAAGATTCATAAAGAATTATCAGACTATCAGAAAGAAAGATTTACAGTTATAAGAAGAAGCAGAAGAAGTTACTTTTTAGTGCTCAGTTAAAATTCAGTTTCAGTTGTTATAAACTCACATCAGTTATAAAGTGTGGTTGTGGTATAAATTTGGTATAAAGTGGTCGTTTAAAGTTAAAGTTTAAAAGTTATATTCAGAAAGCGACCTGGGCATTACTATTTTTGATTCGTTTCAAAAAGTATGGTTCAGCGTGTTGGAGTAATTTTATGAATATTGATACTAGTCAGCAATCATCGCTATCATCACCACCATCAATCGAGTCTATGGTGACAACACCACTGAGCACAACAACAACTCTGAAACAGTGTATCGATCAGCAGCAGCATCAGCCGCATCAGCAGCAACAACAACACCCAACAGTAACTATAACAAGGCGATGGGTCAGTGCGCTATTACATTATTATATCTGTTGCACACACACACACACTTCAGTTATTTCTGCATCTATGCAGCAAAATCGATCAAAATTGATCAAATCGATCAAAATTGATCAAAACAATCAGAATTGTTTGGCGTTTTCAACGTTTCATTATGAGTCTTTGACTACTAGTCTCCTGGACTGCAGATACGAAGCGAAAAGAAGCCGTCGAACACGAGTGGTGGTGAAAAAAATGCCATTGACGGCGGCGGCGGCGGCGGCGATAATGAGGTTACTCGCGTCAAGAGGCAAATACAACGAGCGAAATTGTGCGATGACAGCAATCAGAGCAGTCCTACTACTACTAGTACTACTACTACTACTAGTACTAGCAAGAAGGGCACTACTGAATTTTGCAAATACAAAAGTGATCATCAACGAAAAATTCCGTTGTGTGTATCGCAAAACGCCAAGAGAGCGTTGAATATTTGGAAAACTATGGAGCAAAACGCGCAAAGTGGATGATGTGCGCATGATCGGATCACATACAAGTGATCATCGATCGAATCAAGTAGGTTGGCCGTGATCTGATCAACTGATCTGAATCAATCAAATAAAAAAAATTCTGAATCTTACCTCATATAACCACCGTTGACTATTGCCTTGCATTATTCAATTATCCTTGATTATTCAATTAACTCTATCAGATTCATCCCATTTAATTATTTTCCATCCCATTCACTCACCAAAACAACGTCCCGTCCCGATTTGGCCATATTCGGTCATTGGCAGACCACCCACGTCGTTTTTGACCACCCGTATAGTGGTGTTGAACACTACTGTACTTATCATCCTCTATAAAACAATATTCTCTGCACACATACATAGGCTTACTTTAATTTTGATCAAACAATAATTTCAATCAAATTGATCAATCAATATAATTGATCAGAACAAACAAAATAATTTCATCATAAGAATAATAGAATTATGACGCTTTCAATTTCAATTTTCTATTGTTGTTGTTGTTGTTTTACAGTTAGCCGTAAGATTATTCAATTGAATAACTTGCAAAATTCAGTTTAAATTTCAATTTAAATTAAATTTAAATTTCAGTTTCAAGTGTTTTAAAATTTCACTGAATTTATTGTTTAAGATTGTCAAATTTGGTTGCAATCAACACTTCAGTCCGTCAGCGAATCAAGTGTCAAAAGAAACCATTTCTTTTTTTGTCGATATTGAAACGAATGAATGGTGGTGGTGGTGCTGCGGCTGGCGATTGCACGATTATTCTTAGAGATAAAAACGACTGCCAGCGAGTGCTCGATTCGACGGCACGGTCAAAATCGAACATCTCCTTTATTAATCTTCATCAAATCGCACCAAATCCGAATCAAACAATCAAACCCACAAAAATTTCTCTCCTCTCCTCATTTTATAGCCAACAACAACAACAACAAATCAATACGTGTTCTTTTTTTGTTTCTAATTTCTAATTTCATCTAAATTTTTCCAAAAATTTAATTTTCTCCACTAGAGTAGTGTAGTAGTCGCTGATTTGTTCCACTTATCTGCTGCTGCTGATGCCGCTGCCGTTGCCGTTGCCGTTGCTGTTGTTTATTAATTAAAAATTCTTTTGCTTTTCTACCATCTACCATCACAATTTTTTCCTCCATTATAACGTCCTCGTAACACACCGACCGTCATTCATTCACATTCACTCTTCATTTGTATATATTTATATATAGATATATAAATATGTTTGTATATATTCACTGTTGTCTACGACTAAAAATAATCATCGCATTATGATGCATGGCATTTGGAAGCAAACGACACACACACTCAAACTCACTTAAACCTTAAAAACATGCACTCAACTATTTCATACAAGAAGACATTTACTTACTTACTTACTTATTTACTTACTTCTTACTTCATTGTAGTCTTATAATCCTCTTATATTTCCACTGCGGACGGACGCCCGCCCCGCTCCGCTCCGTATGGCGGCCGGCGATTTTGACGACGATGACAAGACGACGTCAGGATCATATCGGATGAATAATAAGCAATGTTGCTAGCACCTTCCACGAATGTCGTCGTCGTCGTCGTCAGTCTTTTCATATGGTCAATAATTAATGATTTGTAATCACTGTTCTCTGTTCTTGCTGGTGTTATTGTATTGTATCAATGCGTTGTATGCACTTAGACGACGACGGCAACCTGAATTGGATTACGTTGAGCTGACTTATGACGGATAACACTGTAATCGATAGATATATTAATGATAAGATAAGATAAGATAAGATAAGATAAGATAAGATAAGATAAGATATTTTGTTTGTGAATTCAATTTGCTCATTTTACGTGTTTCTTGTGACAAGTGCTGGTGATTGCAATAAATAAATTTTAAAAGTTTAAAATCTATCTCATATACACAAAACCACAACGCTTCAATCAATCTTCTTCAATAACGATAAAATGCGACTAAGAATAATAATAAAAACAATGTCAAAAAGATATTTTAACATTTTTCATTATTATCTTTATTGCCACCGTTCGTTTTTATCGCTAGCAGGGTCGATAGGAGGGCAGGATCAGATCGGATAAACGAGATCGACAACATAAATTCTTGTCGTCTAGTTGGAAACGTATGTTTTTAATCGTTGATTAACGGCAACCGTTCAATTCAACAAAAGGATTAAAGAGATAGATATGCGCAGAAAAGGTTATGTCATAGACGACATGTTATGTTGTTTGTACATAATAACAATAATTATAATAATCATAATTATAATTACATTAATAATAATAATAATAATAAAATAATAATAATGACTATAATAATAATAATAATAAAAGGGATAGGAAATTAAAAGAAACTTCTGTGTATGCGTCAAATAAATCAATTATCACCCCGATCAGATGAGATCAGATCAGATCAGATTTATCACCGCGAAATCGTGCCACCGTGTCATTCGGCATTCATGTTTTTCTACTTTCATCATCTTTCATTCCTTTTCAATCTCATTCCATAACGAAACTGAACACCCCACCCCTCCCTCCCATTCAGATAAGACCTCAATTTTTAGGCAAGCGAATAGATTTTGTGGATAAAAAGGCTCAACCACTCCACTCGAACATCCACATCCACATCCACATCCATATCCACAACAACAAACCCACCAATCAACAACAAACGTCTTGTCTTGTCCTGATTTTGCCATATGATCACGACGATCACCATGGTGGTGATCAACATGTAAGGTAGCGAGCGATGCGATTGATCCATGTATGTGATTTGATGAGGATGCGATCGCATTAGATTGTTTCCTTTTTTAGTTCTCATCTATTAATGTCAACAATCGCTAACTCCAACAGTAGCAGCAACGGCAGTGTATTTCTAATTATAAGCTAATTCGATCAGATTCATTATAAGTTATTGCGGTGGCCTTAACTTATAACTTACATGTTTGTTAATTCGTTTATTCATTTATCGAAACTAAATCAGTATTGAATTGAAACGATCAACGTTTGTTTTGTACTAGAATGTGCATTCAAACTTTATTTGTTGTAGTCCTGCTCATAGGGCGATGCGACGCTGCTAATCGAATCGAATAAACATTAGATATTTGTGAGTGGACTAGAGAAATGCTTGATGCTTGAAATGTCACTCACTAGTCGTATAAAAAGAATTTTAGTTGTTTTTTGAATTTTTAGTAGTTTTATTCACTCTGACTACTACTACTACTACTACTACTTGATTGCTGTGCGTTTACCAGTACAAGTGCTGTTCGTTTGGACAATTACAAACATTGAATCTCAAGGTATTGAATCGAATCGAATCGTCAAAGAATATTGATTGAATTGATCAGACGACCCGACCCGATCAGACAAGTGATCAACGAAGATTCAAAATCAACCAGCCTTATGATTGCTATTCAACGTTATTGCCGTGGTCACCAGCCACGCTTCTTCGTGATGATGCTCGATGTTGCTTCATTGCATCTGATCATACTTTTTCACTTGCTAACAACCGCCAACGCGACACAAAGCTTTCTATTGCCCGACTACGATACCATTAATAATAATAATAGCAATACATATTCGCTTTCTGAAATGTCAGCAAGCGACATAACTGCTGAATCCGCTGAAGTTCTCTCATCATCCTTACCACCAGCACCAGCACCACCACAACAACGCACCACCTCAGACGATTCCTCGTCGGCTCAATCAGACGACGATAGTGTCCAAGACAGCAGCAGCCAATCGAACATGACCACTTCGTCACTAGAAAATACTGATTTCACCTCAGAAATTCCATCATCATCATCGAACCAGCAGCAGCAGCAGCATTCAAGCAGTCTAAAACCCGCAACTATTCAACAGTTCAGCGCCGCCTCATCAGTCATCAATGACGATGCAAAAATCAAAAAATTAAATCAACTCCAAGGTTCATACACACACTTCAGTTATCTTTGTAAACTATATTGTATCGTCGATGTGAGCAGCTCATCAAAATAATAATAATAATAATAATAATAATAATAATAATAATAATAATAACACCAAAAAATGATCATCATCATCCTTATCATAATAGTGTATAAAAGCGTGTAATATAAGTAATATTACTGTACTTTTTACATCAGCATCGCTAAGCGATAAGGAATGTCAACCGAAAATGGATGTCATATTCGTGTTGGACACATCGGGCAGTATCGAGCAAGTCTATGCCGAGCACATCAGATGGACACTGGCCCTGGTGGACGCACTGCCGGTGAATCGAGATCGTGTGCGTATTGCAGCCATCCAATACGCTGGTTTTCCGTTAACCGAGTTCGCACTCGGCACCTACTTCTCGGCCAACGATATCAGACAGCATCTGTCACAGATCACATTCCAGTCCGGTGTGACACGTACCGGTTATGCGCTCAGGAAGGCCGACTCGGAACTGTTTCGTGAGCAACGTGGAGCAAGGTGATTTTACACACAAACACATTAATTTTAGGTTATATTATTGAATTTTTTAATTTTAGGTTATATATCGTCGATATATCGATAAACGATACCTGACTAGATTGTTGACTGATTAATAATAGCCTGATCTGATCTGCATTTGAATGAATATATTTCAGAGCGAACGCCACCAAAATAATCGTCCTGTTCACGGACGGTCTCTCCATTGATGATCCACTGAAGCCGGCACATCAGCTTCGTGATGTTAAAAACGTTAAGATTTATGTGGTGAGCGTTGGCTCGGATGGTTTCGAGCCCGAAATGAATCGTATCGCTGGCGATAAACGCAACGTTTTCGGGTTTCTTCATTACTTCTCCTTATTAATTATTAATTATTATTATTATTATTATTATTACTCATATTAATATTATTCTTATTGGAATTATTATTACTAGTGTTACTTACTTACCATTGTTATGATGGTTTTGATGTTGATGAATTTACTCACTGTTTGCTGATGAATTGCTAACGAGATCAGAGTGAATTTTATAATGCAGCTACTGAAAGATAATAATAATAATAATAATAACAATAATAATAATAGCATATGAAAAATATAGAATATAAATTGTAAATATTAATGAAAACAATTATGTATGGGTGGATATAAGAGGCTTTAAAAATCACTTATTTTAACTCGTTCAAAAGAAATTGACTACTAATTTGCAGACCGAATGATTTGTCGCGCCTTCGTGATCGACTTCTAATCGACGCCCAACAGGCCGGTCATTGCGATAGCATACCGAAGCAGAAGAAGACGAAGGAGTCATCCTCGATCTCTAGGACATCCGTAGCTAAGTCTGCGTCGTCGTCGTCGTCGTCGTCATCCTCCGTGTCATCAGCATCCTCTTCGAGTCTATTATCGTCTGCATCGTCTGCATCTCACACATCCTCATCATCTTCTTCCTTCGTAGAGTCGTCTGTATCTGCACTCTCTTCTGCATCTTCTTCGTCTGTCTCGTCATCGTCATCGTCATCGACGTCCAAACGCCTGATTCAATCAGATTCTAAAAAGCAACAACAAATGGGAAAGGAAACAATCACTAAGAAATCATCCAACGTAAGTGAGGAATTCATTCACTTGGTCTATTCATTTTAATGTAATCTGAATCGTACTTTTACAAAAATTCAAAATTCTTTTTTTGCAGTTACTGCTGAGTGATTTAACTAGCAGCGATGGTTCGAAGACAGCAGCTTCAGCATCAGCCACAGCCACAGCCATCAAAACACAGACTCGAACACGAAGCAGCTCTCGTGATCATTCACTAAACGCGCAATCGAAATACCTAACGCAGATCAAGACCATCTCACGACAACAACAACAACAACAACAAACTGCCATGATCAATAACGAATCATCAGCTGAACATGGAATCGAGTCCACCATCTCAACAACCTATCAAGCACAACGCCACGAAAACCTTCACAATCAACATAACACTAAGAATACTGATCATCGAAACAATAACAATGATAGCAGTGATAACTACAATAACAGAAACTCAAAAATCATAACACAAAACAAAAATCAGTGACCAAACGTTTAATAATAATAATAATAATAATAATAATAATAATAATAATAATAATAAGAATAGCTATGAAAATGAAGAAGACAAAAGCAACGAAAAGAGTGATTTTACTACCGTTGCTGCTGCTGCTGTTGCTTCTGATGAAGAAGACGAAGAAGAAGTAGTAAAAGAAACGACGACAATTCACCAATCAACAATACCAACCACTAATAATGATAGCCCATCATCATCATCACAATCAGTTGATTTGGAAGCTGATCATGGATCAGAATCGTTATCAATGCCTACTACTACAACAGCATCGACACAACAACTAGAATCCGAGCCGGCAACCTCTAGGACGACACTCTCGGACGAGAGCGCATTAAATAATGAAGCAGCAGCACAATCAAAGCAGCAGCAGCACTCCATTTCAGATACTGCTTCAATTGGCAATTCAAATTCAAATGCACATTCTTCGTATTCATCCAGTAATAGCAATGTTACACAGAAGAAGTCCTCTAATGATGCCTGGAAGGAGCTGGACGACGAGAGCAGTAGCACTGAGCTAAATGGGGAAGACGTCGATCAGCAGCTTGTCAAGTCGATCAAGCAAAATGATCAAAATCACTTGAATACTAGTAGTAATCAGCCAACTTCGTTCGTACATCAAACAGCAGACGATCTACAAAGCGAATTAGAAGCAGCCGATTTACAACAACAACAGAACAACGATCACACGGCGGCGATCACGATCACACCAGCATCAGCTGCAGCTGCAGCTGCAGCTTCAACCGCAACAACAGAAGACGACCAACAAGGTGACATTGATGCTGCTAATGAATCAAATTTATCGTCCAAGATCAGCAGCGATAATCAAACTCTAATCAGTTCAACTGGCGAACATAGATATGATGAGATTAGTGGAGAGCATTTGCCTGAGCATGAGCAAGTCAACTTATTAGCCTCAGCCTCCTTCAAGAAACCACCTTCAGATGTGAAAGAGGAATTCAAGCGAAATCAACTCACAACAACACAACAGCATAATAGTGAAGAAGACTCAAGTGTTAAGAATACCTTACATAACAAAACTAAAAATGCTGTCAGTTCAAAAAAAGCGCTCAAGATGGAGTCATCATCGAATGCAAGTCAGCTTAATTCAACCGTTGAAGAGATGAATGCATTCTCAAGCTTCTCACTAGCATCAACTCAGCAACAACAAAAAAATTCCAAGTCAGCAGCACAACGAGACGATGAAAGCAGCGGCGGCGACTCCAAGGAATCTCTTGAAGTAACCAGCACAGCCACACCATTATCTTCCGAGTCTTCGGAAGATCTTCCGAGTCAAGATCACAGCAAATCATCCGATCGAGCAATTCAATCCGCATCTAAATCTAAATCTGCACTTTCATCATCACAATCTAGCAGCAACACTCGTACTAACAGCAGCAGTAGCAGCAGAGAGTCGATCGGCTCTGAGGATGAAGCAGCAGAAGATCAGCTAGTGAATGCGAATGAAAACGCTGAGAAGTTGCTGAATAAAACAGATGAAAATGAGCAGCAGCAGCAGCAGCAGCAGCAACAGCAAAAGAAATCATCACAACGAATCACAACCAATATCAATACTGCTCACCGTAATGCCAATGATAACGATGATAATAATGGCGATAATGATAATCGTCAGCAGTCATCGTCTAGCACTCTCAACAATCCATCTTCTTCAGCCTTAGCATCATCATCATCCACATCGAAATCAAGCAATTCTTCCTCCAAAGCCGCCGCACAATCAGCCAAATCCCACTCGTCAAGCAAGCAACAATTATCACTGAAATCAAAATCGAGCAGCATGATCAAATCGGCTTCTGCAGCAGCATCGAAACATACAAATACTGTAACGGCGGCGTTAAATTCGCTCAAAAAAAGCAATTCAAAGTCAGCCGAAGCAGCAGCATCAGCTATCAATAAACAATCTCAGCTCGAAACACAAACCAAACTCGAACACTTACTTACAAGTCATGAGACTAAAAACATTCATAAAATAACAACAAACACAATTCCAACTGAAAAAAATACGCAGAAAAGTTCCGAAGAAGACGAAGTCGAAGCCTCCTCAACGGCACCATTTATCGAGTCAGCTGAACAGACGGATGATGAATCGTCAAATATCAATGAATCCTCAATTCAAGGCTCACAAGGTGCTTCACCTTCTCAAGCGCATTCCACACCACACTCAATTGCTCACCACCACTCAAAGCAGCAAAAACAGAAACAATCCAAATCAAAACCTCAAAAACAAGCCAATGAAGCCAGTAATCAAGCAGTAGCTGCTACTATACATCGAGCATCATCCACTCCTCGCGTACCGTCGTCAAGTCGACAACCGTCAAAAGAAACCACACCAAGGTGATTTCATGCTTTCAATCCATTATTATTATTATTATTATTATTATTATTATGATCATTTTCGCTCATACGGTTGCCTATAATTGTCATTGTAATGCAGCGTTCAAGCTCGAACGCCACCAATACCCAGAAGAGTGACGAAAAAGCACAGAAAAGCAAACAATGCAACCAATCGACGAAACGGCAGTGCTAATGCAGGTATATATGTATTGTTTTTTATATTTATTTCGCGATTAAATTTATTGTTTTTCTTTATTTTCAGCATTCCAAAGGAATGAATATTATTGTCATTGCGATGCGATTTGTAAAGAGTATTTTTAGGGATTTCATTTTACTATAATTCACTTAATTAATTAATTAATTAATTCAGGTGTAGTATGCCCATTGGATTTTCTCTTCATAGTTGATAGTTCTGGATCAGTGCAATCAATTTATTACAAACAAAAACAATATCTTACATCAATTTTAAGTGAAATTCAGGTTAGTGAGCACATACATAATTTTTGTGCTGCTTTTAGAATTGTCATGTGCTCATGATTCAGTTGAGTATTCTTATCATTATACTTTATATTGCTATTACTAAATTAATTAATTAATTAATTAGGTTGGCGAACAGAGAGTAGCGCTGTTGCAATTTGCGGGTGGATCACATCAAAAAACCGAATGGACTTTTGATACATTCCATGACGGTGAAGCTGTAATGGAAGCGTTCGCGAACGTCCGGCATTTCACTGGTAATTCGTCGGTTCATTTGGAGAATACTGATCACTTACTGATCACTCCTAATCAATCACTTACTGATCACTCCTAATCAATCACTTACTGATCGCTCGTAATCAATGCAAAAAGCAGTACAAACAGAATCGGAATACTCAAAAAATAACACTAAAACATTTACCTATCAACATATGCACTCGATGATAGGTTGTCGATGGATTTTTTAGAGAAGTGACATTTTTGCTGAGCAGTCATCGATGACAAGAGCGTTGAATTAATTTAAATATGAAGCAGCCGCATTAAGTTCCATAATCAACTCCACAATTCAGGTACCACTTACATCGGCCGTGCTCTAGAGGCCTCATTCGATTTGCTGCAGTTACGCCGAAACTCTGTTCCAACCATCGTTGTACTGCTTAGTGACGGGTATGTTGCTACCTGTACTCTTACTAGTATTACTTTTTAGTAAATATTATTAGTCAATACTGCTTCAAACAAACCAGATTCATTACAAACAGCATCTCGTTGTTGTTTCAGTGAAGGCGATCGATCATACGGCAATGTTGAAGATTTTTAACTAAATTAATTCAATTATAATTTAATTATAAGAATGAAAAATTCACTTACCAACCATCAACCATGCATGCATGCATCCATCCATGCTCGTATCCATCCTGACACACTCTCTGTTTTAGATTCTCACAAGACGATGCCACCGAGCCAGCCGAACGTATCAGACGTCTAGCGAATGTGGATTTCTATACTGTGAGCATTTCGGATTTGAGCAATTAGTGAGTTTTATTTGATCGTTGATACCGCTGATCTTCTATCTTTTATTTTATTTGATCTTTCATTTGATCGTTAATGCCATTGTTATTGTTATTTTCGATTTCATTTCGGTTCGATTCCACTCGAAACCGTCCGTCCGTATCAATTCATCATTTTCAGTGCTTATATGGTAGAGTTAACAGACGATCCTGAGAAGGTGTTTGTTGGTGGTGAGCAAAGCGAGCATCTTAAAGAGTTGTTGTTGAAGAAGGTGAACTGCCGATAGATTCAAGCCAAGCCATCCATCATCCACTCATTAATTTATTGATTCATAAATTTATTTTTTGTTTGTTCGTTTGTTTTCATTTTCTCTCATTCAATTTCTTTTCATTACGGCGTTCTGATGATGCCTAGCCACATACACTTGGTGATACGTGAAGTCAGTCTACGTGAAAGCTCTAGGGGCTAGCTGAGTTTCATACAAAAAAGTTGCTGCAATGTCCGCCGTAATGTGGTGCTAGAGTAGTCTTTGGCCGACTTCACTATGGTGGTTGTTGGTGTTGATTTAGACTCAGAGCCTGAGCCTGAGCCTAAGCCCCTCAATTCAGGCTTATTCCGCTCCGCATATAGGTTAAGAAGGAGCTTTCCACAGGACTCCGATCAACTGAACTCATTCGAAACCCTCCGAGTAAAAGCCGGCTGCACCAGACGAGTGAATGAATCGCCAATTATGTGGCAAACGAAATGACTTTAAGCAGCAGCAGCAGCAGGCCCTTTTCGAGTGTATGCCATTCAGCATTGTAACGCTCTAAACTAGAGGATGATTATCATGCCAGCGTGCATGTCATTTGTCCATTGTTCAGTCTACTGTGTCGTCACTCATCATAACCAATCTCATTTGATGCAAAAATTTTGCTGATAACAAACATATAAACATTCATATCATTCGTTCATCCCAGCTGAGATAGATAGCTGTTAAAGTCAGTCTCAAATTTACATTGATAATTAATTATTGGTGCTGCTGCTTGTTTGTGAATTTATGAAATAAATGGGTCGTTAAATGGAATAAAATTGTTGAATTTAGCTTTCTGCGTTAGTCGCGACAGAAGGCAAGAATTTCTTTTTTTAAACTTCAAGAAGACCATTTGTTTAGGAATGTCTAGGTAAAAAAAGATTAAGACAATACCAACCGATAACAAGCGCCCATCAATACTCAATATCCACAACTAATAATCGCCCTCGATCCACCATACACATCACCCAACCCAATCATACATAATAGCACCCGATCACCCATCAACCAACCCAACCCATCAACCAACCGCACACCAATACTCACAACTCATAACCGAACAACCGCCTATCGCCCACCATACACATCAACTACTAACCAACCGCACACGACAACCACTAACTGATCAATGAATCACTCTCGACATATCGATACTCTTTTATACCCAATCACCAAAAAACATTTGATCAACAATACGATCGCGCGGCAAAACTCATCAAAACAGTTCATTGCACTATTCTATAAAGTATTTGATCGAAACTATCGTCAATATGATCAATCAATAGACTAACAATAATATTGTAGATATATTTATGACTGAGAACACACTGTGAATATTCCGATACAAATCTACACTGTCAATATGTATGTAGATATATATGTATATGTTTATGTAACAAACTAAAATTGTACGTGAGTAAACACATGATTTGATCTGCTATCGATGTCCCAAATACAAATACATATAACCTGCAATATACATGATGTGGTACTACGCAAAACTTTATATCCAAATGAAATTTTGATCGAAACCATTGGATTGGTTGATCATCAAAACAATACTTTGTAGATGCTTGATTGTTTGATTGCTCGTTGCTTGAAGTGCACGTGCTGAATTCGCTGGACAACTTCTTTAAGTGATGTATTTGGATTAGAAATGTTTAAAAATTGAAACAATCGAAAACAATATGGTTGATTGCTCATGGTGCTCCTCCTAGTCTATCTATCTATCGTTGAAATCTGCAAATCGTTTTCGTTTTATGCGTTCATTCATTCATTCTCTTAGATAATAACTACTCGTCAGTCACTCCTTCTGAATAAATATAACTCGTTTGTGCTTTTCAGTCAGATATTATTATTCAGTGTCATTCGCAATCGCCTCCTCACTCATCATCAGTCCATCATCATCTCCGCCTCTTAATTTCACTTGAATTGTTCACTTAGGTAGAAGATGGTAGCAGATAGTAGTCAGCAGCAGTAGCAGCATCAGCAGTAAGTCCTAATAGCCACACTTATACAGCCGTTGTTGTCCTTAACGTCATCGTCATATTCATTAACGTACACACACACATTTCATCAAATAGTTGTCGTCATCGTCTTTTTATTGTCCTACCTCCATGTCACACTTGGTACGCCGCCTGCCTTGCCTACTTCTATTGCTCAACAATCCACATCCACTTATCATCCATTTATGTATCCATCTGTTCCTCGATTCATCCATTAATTTATCACTCAATTATCAACGATTCACTCGACGTCTCTATGCTATAACCACGATGCATCATCTTCATATCATATCATATTCGTTTATTCATGATTGTACACTGTTTCGGTAAAACAAGAGTTGAGCTGTTTGTTGTTTGCCTAGTTTGTTGCTTAACCTGCTGCTACTGCTGCTGCTATTGAAGCTGCATACCATAGGTAGGTGCTTGAAAAGAGCCGAGCCACCATTAGAGAGTCTAGACCGCGGGCGATGGCACTTATCGAAATGATATAAGACTGCCGTCTGTTGATAAATTAATGTCGCATGGTTGAATGAATGCTGAATAACCGAATGGACAAATGGATAGATGCATGGATGGATGGATGGATGGATGGATGGATGGATGGATGGATGGATGGATGGATGGATGGATGGATGGA